TCTTGACCCTAAAATTCCATTTATACTATTTTTATCATTCTACCAACACTTCTTTACTTATTCTCCAAAGAGAAAAAATAGCAAAACAAAAAAGTCTCCCTATTTATACTATTTTTGTAACTCCCTCCTTTAAAAAATACCCCTAGTTTAAAATAACATTTATTACATATATTATTTGTCTATTTGTCTATTTATATATATATATATATATATATATATATATATATATATAAAGGGAGCATTACCGATATTAGTTTTATGTTCGTTCAAAATTTGATTCCATTTATAATTTTATGTTAGTTTATTTTTAAATGTGCAATACATCAAACTAATTTACCTTAATATTTCCACAAACGTCACCAATTTCCCACGAATTCTTCCTCAATTCCAGCTTCAAATTGTTCATAAGCTAACCAAATTAAAGGCTCGTCACGATTATCGTGGAAGGAGTTGTGACGCTTGCATGCAGCCCCTATTAGCGGCTTGGCTACATTGCCCTTAATTTCTAATTAACTCATTCATTAATGTTTTTATGTTTTACCAACAACTAATAAATAAATTGCCAAATAAAAAAATTATTAACATTTTGTACTAGTCTTTTTCAATTCAACAACTAACTTTGGGGTGAGTTATAAGTGTTGATTTAAATAATAGTCAATTTAATTCATTAATAAATCAACTAAAATTATCACCCTAAGTAAAGTGGGAGAGAATTAATGAGTTCAAACCCATGATGACCCCAACTTGATAAATTAATTTTTATGTGTTTTCCGATACTAAATGTTGGAAGGTTAAATGACTGTTTCGTAAGATTAGTCAATGTGTACGTAAACTGGTTCGGACACTCACAAATATCAAATAAAAAAAAGTAAAAAAATAAACTAGTTGATGCCAAAATAATAATAAGTAAATGGTTTGTGTCATTTGATGAAATTGAAGGTGTTATGTTGTACTGCTATATGATGCAACTTTGGGCTAAAATGTTTTTGGGTTAAGCATTCTCAGCCTGTTTCTGGTATGGGATTCACATATACCCACTTAAATATGTTTTTCCTTTTTTTTTTCGTCTTATCGCACAATATTTTTGGAGAGAAGGTGGACAGTTTTTTTAAATATGAAACCATGATTTGTGGCGATATAGATATATATATATATATATATAGCCACATGAGTAATTAATTTGGTAATTGAAAAATGAGCTTTTCTCCAATACCTAAGACAAAATATAAATTTGAGAGATTTTAGACAATAACTCAAATAGGATCCAATAAGTGGTCTATTTGAGTTAACTATCTATTATTATTATTTTTGCATCAATTAGAATTAGAATTAGTTTTTTTTTAATAGATTAATTTTAGTTGGTGTATGTTGTTTTAAAATATCTACGTTGTCAAATTGAATGGGTTATTAATCAATTAAATGGACTATATTTAAAGAATAATATTTGCTTTTGAGTTTCGAGCAATTTCCAGTATGTTGTATTAAAGAAATTTAAAAGGGTGGTTGAAGTAAAAAGATGACTAGTATAATATGGTTGATGTTAATATTTCAAACATAATATCTTATAAAATATGTAGAGATAATAATGAGTTTTTAAAGGATCGAGTTGAGTTTTTTCATGAAGGCCAAAACAAGGTGGAATAATTGTAAGTGGAGATCCTGTTCCACATAATCTTCAACTTCTCCAAGAAAGGATCAAAAATAGATTCCAAGAAAGGATCAAAAATAGAGTCCGATAATTTGTCCTGAGCAGCGGCTTGTAACCAGAGTTTATGGGAGAGACAAGCCACGTGGAAATGGAAGCTCCCACAGTCTGACACGTAGGACCAGCCATTTTTGTTGTCGCGGTGGCTACCAATATTGATGCTCTTGGTCTGGTGGCACAAAAAACACTCACCTCGGACTTTGTCGTGGAGGTTCAAGGCGACGTCGGCGCGGTGGCCGTGGCCGTCGTCTGATCTGAGTTTGTAATATGCAGTGAGTTCCATACAAACGGGGTGAAGGTTCAAGTTCTGATTTTGGCAGTGGTACGAGTAGCCTCCGATGGACATTGTGCAAGCCTCGCAATTATTATTATTATTATTGTTTGTATTTGGTGGGGTTTGGAAGAATTCGAAGGTGGCATTGGGGAAGAATTCGTGGCAACTTCTTTGTGGCCTCATGCAGCATTTGTGAAGTTTGAAGCTGCATTTTTCGCATGTGTATCGTGACCCGATGCCTGGTTCCATGCACCCAAGGCAAATGTAAGCTCCTTTAGACTCCACAAACTTCAATTCATCATGCGAGTGTTTCACATCACACAACGTATTCTCCGTCCTCATTTCTTTCAAAAATAACAACAAACCCACTACTTTGGGTCGGAACAGAACATTGGTGGGAACATATATATATAAGATATGCTGGCTTTGACATAGTCTTTAATGAATACACATGTCGGGATTTCTCATTTATGGACTTCTCCTGCATGCCACTAGGTGATCAATGTTATTTGACTAACTTTTCCAATTTATATCACCGATTGGATTCTGCATTTATTTATCTCAACCACGATTTTATTATACAATTTATTAAAATATTAATTGAATCATACATGCTTTGTTTGTTGTCTTCCTTAATTTCTTACTATATTATGAATCTAATTGCTATTCTTCCTCTCATCCAACTTAATATTGTTCCTCTGTCTTTGTTTTTCTTTTGAAGCTAGGCAATAGAAAGAAATGGCGATGAAGTTCCATCCCCATGAACTGGAGCTGGAGGAGTCCCAAGAAGCTTACACTTGCAATGGATGCAATGAAACAGGGTGCGGGCCACGATACCAATGCCCAGAATCAGAATGCAATTTTTATCTTCACAAAGAGTGCATGTTTCCACAAACCTCGCCAATTTCCCACGAATTCTTCCCCAGTTCCACCTTCAAATTCTTCATAAGCCAACCAAAGGCCTGTCACGAAGATTGCAAAAGGATTTGTGACGCTTGCATGCAGCCCATCAGCGGCTTTGTGTACCACTGCCAGAATAAGGACTTGGACCTCCACCCTTGCTGTATAAGCCTCAACAAACAGCACAAAATCGGAGACATGGACTTCAATCTCCACAACAAAGTTCGAGGGAAGTGCTTGTCGTGTAACCATAAGAGCATTAATGGCGGCGCCCACGGTCACAATGGATGGTCCTACATGTCGGGATGTGGAAAGTACCATGTTCACGTGGCTTGTCTTAATATTAATCACCAAAAACAAGCTCAGCTTCTGGAGAGGGTGAACAATCTTCAAGTTCCAAAGCGTGACGATGCCATGAAAAAACACTTTCTTTTCTTCTAAGAAGATGAGTTTGAAAGCTATTGAAGTTCAAGGATGTGAGGATGGTGGGAGAGCTCTCTTATCTTTAATCTCTAATTAATTAATTAATTCATATTTTTATGTTTTACCAACATATTTATAAAATATTGTTTGAAATACTAATAAATAAATTATTAATATCAATTATACTAGTTTTTTTTTTCAGTTTGACAACTCACTAGAGTTGGGAAGTTAATTTAATTGATTAATAAATCAACAAATTGTCGATATGAGTATAGTTATTAAGTCATTTCCATTTGAAGTTGTAGCACGGAATATCCAATTAATATTGATGTTAATAAATAAATTAACATCAATAATACTAATCTTTGGTCGGTTCAACAACTTACTCGGGATGGGATATAGGTGTTAATTTCAATATATTCAATTTAATTGATTAATAAAACTAAAATTGTCAAGATGGGTATAGTTGCTAAGATATTTCCATTTGAAGTTGTAGGACTGAATATCCGACTAATATTAAAACAAAAAAAATTACAGACCCACCACAAATCTAAAAAGAGGGATTAAATGACAACATGGTTGTATATAATGTTTTCAATTTAAAAGGAACAAATTCAAGATAGTTTTTTTTGTAAAATCTTACAAATAATATATATATATATATATATATATATATATATAGTTTAATTTAATTAACTACAATCATAGATGCAAAGAATTTCAATCCAAATTATCTAAGAAAAATCCCATCCCATAACCATAACATTACTATTTACTTCTTCTCATATTTGAAAGTTATAGTTAATTTGCTAGTTTTTCCTTTTTCTTGCAGAGGAAGTAATTTCTTTTTATAGCATGGTCTCTATCCACTGAAGCCCACTGTTTTCAAAAAATAAAAATGGAAACCACATTACCTAACGATGTTATTAATAAATCAGGATAATAGAATAAAATTATTGTCGTAGTTTTTTTAGCTTTTTCAAAATAATTTGGAAATTTTAACAAACGAAGCAAAATGATTAATCCCTTGTCAACTCACAATTAATGTTGGCATTTTGAAATCAGATTTTAATCATAGCATTACTATTTATTTCTCTTCTTCTATGAAAACTATGGTTTTTTTTTTTGCTAGTTTTTTCTTTTCCTTGGAGAGGAAGTAATTTCCTTCTATAGCATGGGTTTTTATTAGCTCCTAAACAAACCAAATGAAGATCAATTTTATAGTGGATTTTAATAAATCGAAACGAAAACCCCCATATAATAAAATAGGGTTATTAATAAATTAGAATAATATAATAGAATTATTGTAGTAGTTTTGATTTTATTTTTCAAAATAATTTGAAAATTTTAACAAACGGAGCAAAATGATTAATCCCTGATTAACCCTGGTTAGTGTTTGACACATCTCATTTATTTTGAATTAAATGAGACCCAAAATATTTGTAACTAAAATAACAAAAAATTAAAGACAATTAAAGCAAGCCCAGGAAGTAATAATAAGTTAATTACCCGAGTGATTACATTAGATCAGAGTGAGCAAATGATTGGAGAAATGGTGAAAAATTGGGAAATTTGGAATGGATAAAGATGATTGAAAGGAAATTTCCCGGTGGCTTCCGTATGATTATAAATAGCCACTACTCTAGCTTCCATCTTGATTTACCCCCACCTCAAAAATTCTTCAACTGATCTGTTCCGATGGGGCTCCGAAATCCAAACCATCCGAGGCATGATCTGGAGCTAAAACAATCCCCAAAACCTTACATCTGCAGTGGGTGCAAGGAAACAGGGTTCGGCCCACGCTACCACTGCGCCAAATGCGATTTCAATCTCCACGAAACCTGCATGTTTCCAAAAATCTTACCCTCTCCCCACGAATTCTTCCCAGGTTCCATGTTCAAGTTCTCCACAACCCCACACAAGAAATGCCCAAGGATTTGTGACGCATGCATGAACCCCATCAAGGGCTTCGTGTACCACTGCAGAAGACACGATTTAGACCTCCACCCCTGCTGCAGGAACCTCCACAACAGGTACGAAATTGAAGACGTGGCGTTTAATCTGCGCAGCAAAATTGGGAGACAGTGCGTGTGGTGCGACTGTGAGAGCATCAAGGACCGTGGATGGTCCTACGTGTCCGAGTGCGGGGAGTACCACGTTCACGTGGCTTGTGTCACAGAAATGGCTCTGCAAAAATGGCACAGCGGCGGCGGAGACTTGGTCAGATCAGTCGACAAGACCAGCCACTGGCTGTGGAGATCAAATAAGGATCACTCCAAAGCAATCAAGTGTTGGAGAATTCTTAAGATCTTCGTCAAGACCATTGTTAGCATCGTTCTTGGAGATCCAACCCCCGTTCTCGCCTCTCTGTTTCAAGATTTGATTAAGAATTAAAATTCTTAATTCTCTTTTCTTTTCTTTTCTTGTATGTATTACTGTTATTATACCAAAACCATGACCATCACATACTTATACATATATACTCTGTTTCAAGTTTGATTCCCAATAATAAAGTTACTTTTTTGTTATTAATTCTTATTTCTTATTGATATGAATTACGCCTGAATTTATCAAAATACAAAAACATTGGTGGGAACATATATAGAAGGATATATATATATATATATATATATATATATATATATATGCTGGTTTTGACATAGTCTTTAATGAATACACATTTTTTATTCATTTTTTAAAATTTTAAGATGGTCGTCTATCTATAATTTTTTTTTGGGACGTGGAATTTCAACATGAAGACACGAGCAAATGTCAAAAAACTATTCCAAAAGCATTATTTTAGAATAACTTTGACATGATACCTATTTTCAAAATAAGTTTAAAAAAAATACATTATTAAAAAAAGAACAGCTTAAAACGGGTCAACTTCAGACATTTTCTGAAAAAATGGTTAAAAGTAGACGCTTGTGGAAGTATCCTCTACAAAAGGGCTATCTGTGTAGCTATCCAAAAGAGGGGAAAAAAAAACTAAAAGTATTAAACATTTTTATTTTTATTTATTTTTGAAATATATTAGACATTTTTATTGAATTAATAAATTAAAAATATATAATCGGTATATGTGTTCAACATGCGGAATTTATAATTGAATATTAACGTATAAGTAGTATTAATAAAACAAATTTTTTTTTAGTACATTAATAAAACAAATTTGATTAATACAATAATAAATGCATACTAAAATCATGGTTAATTTAATTGTACTACATAAATGTAAAATACTTACCATAGTTAAAATGAGTACCTTCTCTTTTTTTTCTTCCTTTAATCCTTTCCTCAACCAAATTATATATGACTAGTCATACATGGATAGCGTCTCCATTATCTGTCCCATCTCCCCAAAATCTCTTGTATTGTTTGTGTTCTTTTTCTTTGTTGAGGATGTCCAAACCTTACACCTGCTACGGCTGCAAGGAAGTAGGCTTCGGCCCACACTACCAATGCGAAAACTACTATTTTGATCTTCACAAGGAGTGCAAATTTCCAGAAACGTGGCCAATTTCACATCAATTCTTCCCCAATTCCACCTTCAATTTCTTTCGAATCCCACCAAAGGCCTGTCACGACGATTGCAGAAGGTTATGCGACGCTTGCAGAAAGCCCATCAACGGCTTTGTGTACCACTGCCAGAATCAAGACTTGGACCTCCACCCCTGCTGCAGAAACCTCAACAAAAACTACAAAATCAAAGACGTGGAGTTCAATCTCCACAAAGAAGTCCGGGGGAAGTGCTTGTGGTGCAACAGAAAGAGCATCAATGGCGGAACACACAACGACAACGGCTGGTCCTACATTTCAGAATGCGGGAAGTACCATGTTCACGTGGCTTGTATCGCCCAAATGGCCTTGGAGGAATCGCACAAGAGCCAAGAAGACTGCGCCATCGATGATGTCACGGCCCAGAACCAGGAGCAAGCCTTGGCTCTGCTTCTGAAGAGGGTGAATCTGGAATCAGTTCAAGCTCGAGGGCGTGGGGACGGCCGAACAGGAACCAAGTTCTGGAGAATCCTCAAGGGCTTTGTCAGAAGGTGAGTTATTTAGCAGGGAATGCATTGTTAAGAGAGCCCTTTCAATTTTGGGTTTTAGAAAACAATCAAAAAACAACATTTTCTTTTTCTTTAATGACAATACCTTATTATTAACGTGTCAAATAAAGAACCAACAAAAAATTCCTAAAAACCAATTATCTTTACCAATAATAGTTTCATGGTCATGTCGTCTTTGATGAAATTGATGGTGATACTGTTGGGCTTGATGCAATTTGGGCTACTAAT